GCGCCCCACCCTGTAGGATATTGATAGGAAAGCCGGAAGGAAGATACCATTAGGAAGACCAAGACCTAGGTGGGTGGACAATATTAAAATGGATTTTAGAGAGATATGATGGGATGGTATGGACTGGATTGATCGAGCTCAGGATAGGGACCAATGGAGGGCTCTTGTGAACACGGTAGTGAACCTATGGGTTCCATAAAATGTTAGTAAGTTCTTGAGTAGCTGCACAATTGGCAGCTTCTCAAGAAGGGCTCAGCTCCATGAGTGAGTGAGTGAGTCCCTATCCTGTCCAGGTTATGGATATCGCTTTTATTCTCCGCGTCACGTATCTGTTAGCACATGGCTGATTGTGATGTGAATTTACAGTATATTAATAGAACTGTTTATGGTGGGTATGTCTTTCAAGGTTTTGTAATGCTGGAGATGATAGTTCATTTCTTTGAAGCTGAGCATTGAAACGGACTGGCAAGTTCTGTGGTGAGTTTGTGTTCGGAAAAGGTCACAAGTGCAAACACTTCAAAAAAGAATAATATGCGTATCAACGAGAGCCTTACACGAATGATAATACAGATACATGCCAGATAAGAATGTAAGCTGCATTTTAGGATTCCGAAGGTCTAGATATCAGCACCTCTCATACAAACATACGAATATACCGTGAACTTCTTAAGCTAAGTCACAGTGGCCCATCAGTTGTAATTATCAAATCGAATTATTTCCCGCCGCCTCCATACTGTTATGACTCTAAAACACTACTGCAGTGAAAGCCGAGTACTTTTCAGAGATTTTTACTTTAAACGTACACAATTGATGGCTCTTCTATCAGTTGCGCTGATGTTACTGCCACTTCACAAGTTCGAACCACCACCGATTTGTTGTTGTTGTTGTTGGTGGTGGTGGTGGTGACGGTGGTGACGGTGGTGACGGTGCTGACACGGGGTTAATTACCGGGATGGAATACTCCCCAGTGACATGATGTTAAAATTTCGAACTGAAACCAGATGACCTCATTTTCATGGCGTTCATCAGTCCCTCCAGGAAAGTGCCCGAATAATGACTCGAATTAGGCCACGACCACTTCCTTCATTATTTGCTAATCATATAACTCATGACTGTATTGCTTAAAATATGCTTAGAACGTCGCTAAATAACCGATAACTAAGCGAAAATAATGTTGATACCCGGTTTCACAAAAACTCGTTATGTAGTGCCCATACTCGAAACTACTCCGAAATTCAGCTTATGTTGAAGTTGAAGGTAAAGTTGTCCCTGTAGAAGAAGAAGTGTGGGGGGATGGATGTGTAGACCCACATTTTCTTGACGTCGGCACTAGTTGGTGGTGAGTGGTCAGCTTCATGGCCCGGCCGCTTTATACCCGGGGAAAGAGCCCCCGCTGCCCATTGGATAGGAGGCTGGATGGGCCCCAGAGCCGGTCTGGACGAAATGGAGAAGTGAAAATTCTTGCCCCCATCGGGACTCGAACCTCGATCCCTTGGTCATGCAGTCCGTAGCCAGTCGCTATACCGACTGAGCTACACCGGCTCCTAATATTGAAGTAAGCCAAATAATATCGATAATGGTCGGGCTAGTTAGATAAAGTCCACAGTTAATAAGAAGCACAATGATTACGTTTGTTGCCCACTATTGTAGACGTTAGCAGTAGGACTTGGATGAAGGTACGAGTACATATTTATTTCCGTTGTGCTTGCATTGGAACGTTAAGCTACTAATGTTATTTCTTGGCTTAGATTAAGTTCATGTTGTTACATTTAGGGAATGTTTTTTCTTCTTTATTTTAGTTCGTGTTATCTCTACTTCGGGGGGCACTCGGTAGCGTAGTTGGTTGAGGCACTATGCTACAAGTCGGAAGGTCGCGGGATTGAATCCCGATGAGGTCATTGAATTTTTTCAATTTACCTAATCCTTCCAGCCGCACTATGGCCCTGGGGTCGACTCAGCCTCTAACAGAAATGAGTACCAGGAATATTCTTGGAGGTAAAGGGCGCCCGGCGCGTAGGGCTGACAACCTTGCCGCCATCTTTGAGCCGATTGTGTAGAAAATGTGAGAACCTCAACGTCTCACAACCCTATGGGCCTTCACGGCCTGTTACAGGAATAGCTTTACTTACTTACTTTATCCCATCTTCTTCCTTCATGCCTTAGGCACTAATGTCTGTTGCGGTTACAATTGATCTAGAAATCACTCTGGCATACCGCAGTGGTTTAGATTTCATAATAGGTTTTGATATTCTTCTAATTTCTACCTTCGATGCGTAGTCTACCAAACCATTCCTATAACTGTTGATCTTATTTTTCATATAGAATATTACATATTGATATATTCGTTTCCTTTTTAAATTCATTTTTCTTACATCACCAAATCCTACCGTGTTGTACATAACAAGTCCGTTATGGCTTACATCAAGATTTTCCGGATAATATCTGAATCTCCTGTGTTTATCAACTTATTTCTAACCTTGTCCGCTTTTTGTAGCAGATTATATTAGCTGGCTCATCTTAAAATTGTCCATTTTCTGATTTTAGCCACAATATCTATGGGCCATAATATTGAAGTTCCTTATTAGCTTGGCTGACACACATCATTTATAGAATTTCGGAGACGTACTGATTTCCATTGGACCCTGAAGCAAAAATGAGGAATTATACTTCAATACTTCTTAATTAAAATTCACACCTAACTGATCATTTTAAATTCTGTTTTGGCCTCCAAGAAAATATATAGTTTCTTAGTTACAAAATCAAATTAAACTTAGGTTGTGGAAATATAGAACGTTTATCCTGGTAATCCACTTTCTTTGTTGTTTAAATATTTTCTTATTGACCCATGATAAGTTCAAAGATTCGCCATTATTTGATCAACCAGTGTTAATTCGTATAGGAAGTAGCGCTTCACCCATTTCTCTTTCATTGGTCTCAATAACGTAGTTTGGCATGACCACAGATGCCCTTTATCTGCCAAGGAAAAATGTTAAAGGTATATTGAGCACAAAACTTGCATAGTACACGTAAATATAACTGCTTTGTCATTCACAAAACTGTATAAAACGTAACATTGCCCTAAACATAAAAGCATGAATCATTTTCTGTTCATTCTTAAGAATGATATATACACTTTTGAACAGCGGCCTCCGTAGTCTAGAGGTAACGTTCCCACCTCATGACTCGTGGTACGCGGGTTCAAATACCCGGCGGAGGTCGTCGAATTTTTAAGGGCGGAAAAATTCAGGGAACAAGTCCTACGGGATAGACTTTAATCTGTGTGTCCCGTGTCGTAACTTTACGGCACGTAAAAGAACCTCATATCCCCAAAGGGGATCACTGAGCCAAATTCCAGGACGTTTCCCGCCCAACAATAGTCTCTAACGCCTCTGATAGATGGGGGAAGCATTATAGACACCGCTAAGCAAGTGGCCGAACTCGCTTGCTCGGCGGGACTGATGGTACGCACCATTTATCGGTAGGGTATAGAGACTGGTAGAATATCATAGAGGGAAGCACAATAGATCAAACTGATCGCGGTGCATGGGGAAACCCACCCTCTCTAAATAACTAACTAACTACACTTTTGAACGCTATTCCATTGTGTATTAAATGGGTAAAATTCATACTGTCATCTTTAAAGTTACAAATTAATTATTTATGGCTCTTTAAGAACGTAAACTGAGAGCTGCCATAGAAATTCTAAGACCAAAAAAAGAACCGTGGCGTAAAGATGTTTTACTTTGTACGTATACAATATACTTCCCATTATCGGACATGTATGGGGAATGGTGCTTGCCGGTTTGCATGAGAACTCATACACAAACCCAGTTTTTCACACTATACCTGCCTTATTCCAGTCTGTTTCCTATTTCCATTTTCTGTTTAAAAGTCAACTTTTTCGCTTTGGTTCTTGCATGGGAGTCTTCTTAGGTGACATTTTGTCACCTATGACTCCCAGGGGTACAGTGGAGGTATTCTAACCCACCTCCACACGGGACATATGAAATGTTTAATTTTCTTTGTAGTTGTTGCCAGTTGCATGAGAATTCCAGATGCGTGGATACTGCTTAACTGGACGTTAACTGTAGAAAATATTTTTATTTATGAAATATGTGGAAAATTTGATTAAATGCTTCAAGCTAGCGATGAATTTCAGATACCCTTGAACTCTAAGAGAATTGTTTCAAGAATGTCACATGTTTGAGTATATCTGTGTGCTTTCAGCTTTTGTTTTATTGCGTTTTGCAAAGAGAAATTTAGGAAACCATCACATAATTTGCATCAGTATACATTCATTTGCTAACAACCACTCCAAAATGCTGGATCAGTTTTATTTGGACACAGTATTGTAGAGATGCACAGAATTTTGTTGAGCCATAGAACTGGTTTGATTTTACTTTAGTTTTTCATTTTAAGTGTCGCCATACGAGTACTTAAGAACCTAATTCAGCCTTTACTTCTGTACTTTCAGTACTCCACAGATTTTTGTAAAACTCTGTATACAGCACTTCTGCCTTGCTGATATTACCATTTATCATTTTCGTTTAATTTAAATAATTTTAAGTGTTCAAGGAACATATACATGTACCTTCAGAATTGAGTGAAAGATTATGAGATTTACATATGGCACTTTTACTGTTTGACTTATGATGTGTTAGTGTCATCCACTTTAATATCTAGACAGCAGACAGTTGTCATGTATAAATTGAGTGCAGCTTCATATTTCAGCTCCAAGAGTGGATTTACCCATTCTTCATCCTTCAGTTTTCTGCTGGTTCATCTAAATAATATAAAATGTGTGGGTTCTGTGCTGTTATTTGAACTGAAGGGTCTTTGATGTTCAGCCTTGTGATAAAATACAAATGCAAGTATATATTTTTAAAGGAAAGTTAATAAAAGATAAGCTTTTATTTTAGTTGTAGAAAGTACTGTCACAAACGTAACTTCTAATGAGTGTATATCATGACTTTCATGGAAACATTTGTGGCCTATTTCAGAACCGAAAAAGGATAAGACTGACCAATCAAATGGGTCCATATCGCCAAGCAGTGAACCACCAGTGGGACCAACGTTGCCGTCCCCAGGAAGTGGTGGAGGCGGAGGGGACCCTGGTTCAGCTGCGGCAATCGGAGCTGGTAAACTGGAAAGACCGTCATCTCTAGGGCCAGGAAAGTTGACCAGACGTTTGCTATGTTACCACAGTGAACACTGCATGTCTCATAGCTCACCACCACGTCCCAACAATTTCACAGCTTCTGCTAGTGCCAGTGGTGAGTTATCAGTACCAGTTCTCAATTTTATCATCACAACTTTATTTGCTGTGAGTATTTCTTTGAGTCCTTACAGATTTCTTCAAGTAATTTTATAAAATTGCTGTAAGCCAAAGTTACCTATGATTTAATAACCGGAAATCAGAATATTTTATAGGAACTATGAGGAAATTGTAGTTCATATTGTTTTATTTGTTTGGTCTGTTTTGACCACAGAAGTCAATAAAGAATTTATTAATAAGAAATTATCCTTCTAAATTAAACCCTGTAGTTACAGCTATAAAATGGTATAGGATCGGGTGATGCTGAATCATTGCAGCAGAGTTGTTCAGAACACAATACTGTACTGTCACCAGTCACTGATTGCAGTCTTACAGCTGGCACTAAAATTACGAACTTCAGGTTAGGTATTTGTGATAAATAAGTGGAATGTGATGGTCTGGTGAGGTAAATGTAAAGGAACAAGGGTTCTGTTGGGTGCCAGAAAACATATCCTTGGTATGGGTACATCCTCCCTTGCCTCTTGATATGTAAATATTTGTGGTTAGCCCTGGCAGCGCACTCATCTCCAGTCTCAGGCTTTGTTTGGATTGGCAACAACTTGAGGACATGTAGCTACACTGTTATGCTAAATAAATCACAACTTGATATGGCGAGCACAGTATTTGCCACTTAGTCACTGCTGAAGTTTGTGGCCAGGAAATAATACCTAAGTATCCCCTTCATACAAGTAATGTAATGAATAAAATTTTGCCATAGTTCCTTATTAATAATATCCAAAATCACTGATTTGGTTTGGGTGACTGACTCATTTTATTTATGTAATGTTACGAGGGTGTTAGTAAATAGGTCGCAAATGGAAGTAAAACAGTTGTAATGGATGTAATAGGTTTTCTGTGTGTATCACTAGGCAGCAGCACAGTCCAGCTTCATGACAGTGCAGGTAGCACACGTGCATGCTCATTTTCAGAGGCTGATTTCAGTTGTCAAAATGGTGATCATTCTTGAGGAATATACTACCTAAGAGAAGTGTGCTCTTGAATGTTTTTCTATGGGCAAAAGGACTCAATGCAAAGGATATTCATAAAGAAATGTTTCCAGTTTATGGTGGGAAGTGTTTTTCATGTAAGGCAGTTCACAACTTGGTTGATAAATTCTCTCAAGGACGTTCGAAAATCAAAGATGGTGCCCGACCAGGTGCGGAAGTGGCTGTAACAACAGTCAAAAGGCTTCCATGCTGCAGGTTTCGATGAACTGGTAAAGCAATGGAACAAGTGTATCAATGTTGAGAAATAAATGTTTCTTCCAGGTTTGAATATCACATGTTTTATATGAATTTTTGACCTATTTACTGACTGTCCCTCATAGTTGGACTGTTACAGGAAGAAATAATAATCATATTCTTTACTTTCTCTTTCAAAATCCAAGTTATAACCCAACATTTTATTTCTGTCACGATTGTCATAAATATACTCATTTTACTAAATTAATAATTCTAAAATGGTATTTTCTTATCAGTGTACTGCTACCACAGTGATGTGATATGGGATCTTTTCTGCAGATGGGCCTTGATCTTTGATTTCCTTATATCAAGAAATTACTACTTCACTATTAATACATGATCATATTAAACGTAAGAGCAAAAGTATGGGATATTAAAATTTAGAATTAATAATTACTGTCATGAATGCAGTAGAAAGCCATTTATTAAAAATTATGCTTTCCACACCTTCATTACTAGAAAATACAGATGCAGCAAGAAACATATTTAAAAAGTGCACTATTGTAGTGTGTAGCTGCTCATATATGCAACGACAGCGAGGTGGGCAGATATACCAGGGCCGTTTCTGGGCAACGGCTCAGTAAACACGTTCCCGTTGCTAGGCAGTAGATTATTAACAATGCAATAGTTGGACTACAGCAGTGGAAAAGATGTGTTTTCTATATGGTATGTGCTGAGATGTAAGCTAGGGACAAGGCCAGTCTAACTCAATTTTGTACAGGAGTCTTTTGTACTTGAGCCAGAATAGCCATTGTTGGAGTTGTTACCAGGAAACGTCTAGTAACAGACTGAGAACACTATGCTGTATGCTCTGGTGAACTGTAAAGTGTGGAAATAGAGCCAGTGTTATGGTTATTTGTAGTTACATCCTGTAAGTGGTCAGTAAATCTATTCACCAATCCAAACCTTGTCTGTAGTCACACATACTATGTGACAGTATGTGTGTATGTATATGTATATATATTACTTTCATTGCCCCCACTTGGCAGTTTTCATGGACAGCCATTTTACAAGCAGATTTTGGTGCACTATAAAGGAAGTGATGTATTTGTGATATACATAATTGCATAATATTTTTATGCTTCCTTTATTCCCCTTTTTATACTGTTTTGCTTCTTATTTGTTTCCTTAATTCAGTAATATGAATACAGTCATATTTGAAATGCCAAGTTTTAAATGGACTGTTACATAACTATAGTGTAGAAGTTGAAATGTGAAGTTTTAAATTTGTAATTGTTATTATTCAACTCATTTATTAATTTTTTACAGTAGTCATATGACAATGACTGAAGTTTAATTAAATCTTAGGTGTCTAGTTTGCATACATATTGAAGAAATCTGGAAGTAGTTAAAGAAGTTACTGTCAAATTGCTGTCTAAAGGAAAGAAAAATCTGCTTCATTCTGTATGGCTGTAAAATCTGTTTTGTGTATGGTAGAAATGAGCCTTAATAACTGTCTTGTCTAATTTACTAACACTTTCACCCTAATTATAGACATACAGGGCCAGAGTGTTGCAATATAGTAAGAGCTTATGCTGCAGAAATTTTATTTGCTGTTTTTATAGATGCTTTTTGTATATTTTAAACAAAAGTCAGTAGAGACATTTTTTCCTCCCAGTTGGTAAGATGGTAGCACAGGTATTGTTTCATTTAGTAAGCAAATTTTCTAATTTTGCTGGATATAAAATATAAAATATTAAAAAAAAAAATTTACTAGTGACAATAAAGGTTTTTTAAATTAACATCTAGAAACTTTTAAAAACTTTACAATACCAGGAAGCTGCTGTGATTGTGAAATGTTCAACTTTATGCGTACTGTGCATTATAGGATATAAGTGTATGTATTTTAAAGCAAAACACCTATTGTGACGGTAGTTTCCAGTTCCTAATGATGTTCCCTCTGAAGATGGTCAATAACGACCGAAACATGTAAGGGAGATAAGTTTTCATGTAGTAAAATCTTATATGTCACATTGGGCGGAGTGGTTTGTATTTATGATTGAAGTGTGACGGACCAGAATGAAACAAATCAAATTTCTTCATTATTCATGTTGCACATAGGAAAATTTGTTCTTAACATAAGTGCGTGGTGATACTGGGTTTTTGGACTTTGTCCATCGTCCGAAAACCCAGTATCTCTGTGTCTTATACACCATCATCAGAACCCTATAGTGTCTATAAGTACATGGCTTTCAGTTAATGATGCTGTGAATGTGCTTGGCTAACTGGCTACTAAGTTCGGTTTGTCAGAGAAAATTCTGATGGATTTATGGCAGCGTGGCAGTGTCGCATAATGAAAGCCCTGAATGTATCATATTAAACTATGTAACTTTTCACAGTTATTGGGTTTTTGGACTTTATACAGCATCCAGTATTGTAGAAACTAGTAAAAACAACATTTCAGTAATTGGATCTGTTTCCATCCTCTGGTGAGGGGTGAAGACATGTACTCTATTTGGTCCCTTACAAAGAGTTGAGGTTAGCACTTTCTAAGGGACCCAACAGAGTAGGTGTCTTCCCCCCTCACCCGAGGACAGAAACAGGTTCAGTTTCCAAAACATTGTGTTTTCTAGTTTCCAGAATACCGGACAGAGAACAAGATTAAAGAATCCAGTAATTCTAAGCATTATACACAATTTTCAGAACCTTTTAGAATCTATCTGTAACTTTTGTTTTGATTTTATACATATCTAAATGTATACAGAGGAGTTGCAGAATCCAAGCCAAATGAAGTGAGATAATGTTAACCATGTGAGATGTGAAACTAATGAAACTTTCAGGAACAAAAAGAAGAATATCTGAATGACAGAATTAACATGCTTGAAGCATATAGTAAGAACCGAAATGTTGAGATACTTGTGTAGATGAATAAAGGGATTTAAGAAGGGACAGTAATATTAAAATAGATCTTGGGAGAAATATACTCTGAGGATGTGGACTGGATTCTTCTGCCCAGAACACGGGCCAGTGGTGGGCTGCTGGGATCGTAATAATGAACCTTGAGTTTCCATAAATTACGGGGGTTTTCTTTATTGGTTATAAAGAGAGGAGTTTATTTTGAATTTGAAGTAAAATTATTACCCTGACTGGCTGTTGGTTTAGCTTTAGATTTTGATTTTATAGGTAATTCTTAGTATAAATTTTTATTACCATCCATTCAATAAGAGCACTAGGTCACAGATGTGATGTCACCTGAAAGTGGTGTACTTTATGTTATGTATTAAAAATGTATACAATTGAAAATAAAAACCAAATATATAATAGGTGGACTGGGGAAAAAATCCAGCCCCCCCCCCATTTATCTTATACACAGTAGGTGCTAAAAGTCTGATTTTATTAAATGCTTCTGTGCTTTCACATGTAATTGCATAAGTCAATAGCAGATTTACATCACAAGCAGTACTCTTCTGTTAGTTCACATTAGATAGCTTGTTTTTATGTTCAGCTGCTTACAAAGTATATATATTGTGTTTGAAAGTAAACAAGTAGTCCAGTAGTCTATCAGCTGAAGAAAATCATTCTTTGAAAGAGGCTTTTCGTAATTGTTTTATGTTTTAGTTCATAATCAACAAATAATCATTATTTCTTTGACTACTAGGTCCCTAGCATTTATCTCAGATATGATGCAGTCTGTGTGTGATGTTATTCTATGTTATTTTTAACAGACAGTGATATAACAATTCTGAAATGGGGTGACTTCACTGCTTTTGACAGTATTCTGATTTTTAGCAAGTTTAATCAAGGCTGTTACTCTCTGTTCTGAAGGAAATCTTGCATGTAATGTAAACATCACATATTACAGATGCAATGCCATATTAATGTTACAGCCTCCGATGGCCAGACAGTGAGTGATATGACTCCACCCCCTACAGAATGCCACCCACATCCCCATCAGCACCTTCACCCTAACACCTTGACACTTTCAGAACTGCCAGAACCTCCAATACCAGTATCAGAAATTGGACCCATTCCCCCTCCACCCATGTTCAGTTCACCTAGCCCAACTATGCTCCTTCGCCAGAAGAATCAGCCAGGGATGGGAGTGGGGATTGGAAGTGGAGTGCACAATGCAATTCCTCTTGATCTTTCGGACTTCCTCTATGAAGGTAACTAACTGATTGATCTTATAAGAGTAGAAGAGAAAAGAGATGAGTTGTTACAGATGTATATATGTGAACATTTGTATGTCAGAGATACATAGTCTTGCAATCAAATGTTCATAACTTACAATCAAACAAGCTGTTAATACACATCATGAGTTTCCATTATATGTCATTATTCCATAAGGCAGTTGATAATGATTTGCATTTTAAATTGCCTATTTTATTGATAGCTGTCACTGCTTTGTACACCTAAATAAATTTCATTTAATTATTAATATAAGTGAACTGACTTATATGTGTAATTATGTAATATACTACATATTTATAGACCAGAACAAAATGAGATAGCAGATAACTGTAGCAAAGAAATGTAGTGTAACCCCTGTAGTATGTTTTTAATCTTGCTGAGCTGAAGTGGTTTGTTATATGAACTCTGTCTAGTGGAGAATGATGCAGAAATATTTACTGTTTATTTGCATATTTAGTTTCTGTCTCATTTGTATTTTCTTGTATTTTTTAAGTACTCGTGTTTATGATGTTTTCAGTTCAGTATGTAAAATATGGTGAACTATAGTAATTTAATATCCATAGAAGCAAAACCAAATTTCTTTATATTCTGCTCTAAGTAGTGTATGTCAATAGAAAGCTGTAATTCTATTTGTTTAACATTCGGTATTCGGTATAGTGAGTAGCTATGGGCTGGACAACCAAGAGGTCAGAATTCAAGTCCTGGTAGGGTCAAGAATTTTCTCTTCTCCACATCGTCCAGGTCGGCTCTGGGGCCTACCCAGGCTCCTATCCAATGGGTACCGGGGGCACTTTCCCCGGGGGTAAAGCGGCCGGGGCGTGGAGCTGACCAATCACCTCCAGCTAGTACTGAGTTCAAGAAAATGTGGATCTATACACCCATTCCTCCATATGCCTTCATGATGTAGTTTTTAATTAGTTAAGCACAAGGACAACTTTATATTTTTATCTGTACTGGGTATTCTGATTGGGGTTTCATTTTTCTTTCTTTCTTCCTTTCTTTTATTTTTCTCCTTTTTCTTTCGCAAGATAATACAAGGATTGTACCTTATGAGAAATAGCCATGATCCACTCTTCATTGCTATTTTTCTCTCTCTATAACTCTGTGCAACATTACCTTGCTACTCATCTAGCTTTCCTGTTGTCTGACCTGTCAGAGCTATATTAATGTGTCCATAGATAGCTAAAGACTTAACATAGAATATTTTCTTTTTTTTTCTGTTGCTTGTGGGGTGGGACTAAGTCCCTTGTACTGCAGCCACTTCTGATCTATTGTACCAGCCCCAGATGATAGGTGGGGGGGATTGTGGAGCAATTGGTGGAATGAAGATTGGCAGGGGAAATCGAAGTACTTGGAGGAAACCTGCCCCAGCGCCACTTTGTCCACCACAAATCCCACTTGACCACACCTGGGATCGAACCCGGGCCACTGCGGTGGAAAGCCACTCGAGCTATGGCGCGGCCCCTAACATCGAATAACACCCTGTGCTAAGAGATTACTGCGGGTGATGGAAGTTCCTTTCATCACTGTTCATTTATAATGCTAGTCTTGATTGGCCATAATGTTATGTTGTACCATAATAGACCCTCATATACTGTACTGCCTCCTGTGTCATTCAAGCAAAGAAAGCAGGATTTTATTTGTTTTAATGTTCATTTTATAAGTAGTTCAGAATTAGAAATTTATACAGTTTGGTAGGTTTAATTGTTACACATTATTTTCATGGCTGCTTTGATGTTCCCATTCAGTAGAATATGAATAAATATTTTCTTATAACAAATGAAGTAAAAGTATAATTTGATTGAATGATGTCAAAGCTATTTGTATCCTGTATGTTATAGCAGCATTTATGGAAATTTCTGAATTATGTCCTAAGTTCAGTAATGGAACGCAGATGAGCTGTGTACTTGAAGTTATGATTTGGTATAACAGAGCAGGAAGATGCAAGTGGTGATGCAGATGAGGATGAGGAGGATGAGGATGGAGATGCGCGATACATGTTCAGAGTGCCACAGCCTGATCCAAGTATTGACACCTCTCGTGTGGAGGAGATTCCAGCCAAGGAGCCCAAGTTCCATGCCGTACCACTCAAGTCAGCCCTTAAGAAGAAGAGCAGCAGTGGAGGGGGAAGTGGACCTGGCACGCCTCAGAACACTCCTACACAGGAGAGCCGCCCTCTTGCAGTGCGGCAAGAACATCATGCCTCATTCAAGTGAGTTCAGGTTAAGAGTATAGTAAACAAAATAATCTCAAGTTGTCGACTTTGTTGTCCTTTATATGTCTTAAATTCACAAGAAGTTGAAAGTGCCCTAAAACGGGATTATCACCTGTATGCATATAAATGTGGTACTTTCTTCCCTCCCGTGGAGCTCTTATCATGAACTTTTTAAGTCAGCATTCACCAGCAGCCACATGAAAATTATAATTCATTTTAAAATTGTGCACAGATAAAAAATTCTTATTGCTAGTATGCCATGTTATTCCAGTGTTGTCTCTCAGTTTTGTTGAAGGAGTTTCCGTTCAGACCTGATTATGTTTTAATATCTTTTGTTGGTAACCTTTCTCTGCTTTTCTATCTCATCCAGCTATCCAGTTCACATACAATTATTTCTCAGTCTTGTTGGCAGATGAATTCCTAAAGAAACTTTTTCATGAATTAAAAAGCAGCATAAATCAGGATATAATTTTCCCTGAAACATGAACAAAAATGAGTGGTCACATGTGCAGACGCATATACAAGTATATAACCCAAGAGGTTACATATATTTGCTCATGTAAAATGTTTTGCTTAGTTTGTCACTTCACTTTAAGGATTATTTAATTCCACATTTTATACTATTACTATACACAGCTGTATATGTGCTGCTTCTTTTATCTTTAGTAGCACAGTCATCTACCATGTTTCCTGTTACTGATGACACAACCATATTAAAATGAGAACTAAAATGCTGTAAATTAAGAAGTGGTTTATATCCTTCAATCATGTTAAGCTGAAATCATGTAAATCAAGAAGTGACTGTAGATGACAGCTTTGTTAAGGAACTGAGGCAGTCTTAGAGTCAAATTAGGTTATAATTAAACTAACATTAATAACAGTACTATGTTTTGATTGAGTCTATATGAAAGACTTGATGCCTAAACATTTTAGGTTGTTTTTTATCAACATAATTTGAACAGAAGCATCTGATTCTCTTTTAATTAATTAATTGAATAGTTAGTTAATGCGTTTAAGAAGATGAAGAAGCTGGTAAACTTGGGCATGTTGGATGTATGGTACATGATTCATAAACTGATTAGAATAGAAATACCACTACTGAATTTTAATACTGACAGAATTGCTACATACTCAAATGTAAGAAAATTTTCCTCTTTGTAAACCTGTATGTGCTTATGGACATGCTCTGCTTTTACATTTGTAAGCTGTCACTGTATTAGCACCATAAAAATGTAGATATTTAGTTGGCTCTTACAATTTAGTATTGAAAACTAAGTAATGTTTAGTCTTATGAACCCCACTCTTTGTTTAGCCTGTGCCATGCAGATACTGTAAGACATACAAAGTGTTCATTATTGTCATAGTACAACTATGTTGACTTTCCAATTCAGCATTCACTTTTCTGGTGTTTTACTTCTCATTCCACTGCCTTGAAAATAGTTTTCATTGACATTGACTAGAAATGAATTTATTGCATTTATAATTAAAATATCCAAGAGAATAAACACCATTCAGATTTGTGAGATATTATGTATCACGCTTTACAGGTGCAAATAAACCTGAAAAGAAGCTTTATTTGAACAGATTAATTATCACATACCCATATGAATATATATTAATTGTAATGCTGTTTATTTATTGTGTCATGCTTCTCTCTTGTGCTTGCTAGAAGGCCTTCCTCTGTTCCAAGAGTAAGAATAAGGTATCTATTGAATACAGATTTTTTTATCTGTTCCTTTTAATTCTCTAAATGTTAGAATGGATATAATATCAATGCTGAATATGAAGATTTAATATATGTTTAATATTATTTAATCACTTCAAAGTTCTTACATTATTCTTTATCGATTTTTTATTAGAATCGTTTTGGGGTCAATTTGTAAAGAGGATGCATTTTGAGAATGGCAGACTTTAAAAAGGAAGTATGTATAATTTCATGAATAAAACTTTTTTTAAGTGGGTGTGGAAATTCTTCTCTCGCATTAAGGGAAGAACTGGGGGCATTTGGGAACATGACGCTAAGGAGAATATTTGGACATAACAGTTAGGAAGTTAGTGAGTGATGGAGAAAACTGTATAATGAAGAGAATCATAATTTGTACTCTCCATCAAATAGTATCAGATTGATGAAATCAATCTGCCATCAGCCAGTGACAACATATCAAACACAATAAGAAATAAGAGCAAACAAATATCACAGTCATGTGTCTATATCATCTTAAGGAAGCAGAAGGCACTGTATAATTTGATTTTGTCCTTAATATTTTGGTTTTAATGCTTTAACTTTACTACATTTTAATCAAAATATTTAACTGTGAGGGTTAGAACTTTAATAGTGGCAACTATTTATTTACAACTGATATAAAATAGGTGCATGTTTTGAAGTTTTACTGTCCTTCAGTGTAGTCACCAGCATTGTGTACAACCCGTTGCCAGCGATGTGGAAGTCATAGGATACATTTAGCAGTGCCTGTTATGTTGATAGTTTGAATGGAGCGGTCTACTACCTGAAGAATCTCTGGAACAGTTCTGAAGCGAATGCCACAAAGTGGTTCCTTCATCTTAGGAATCAAGTCGAAGTCACAAGGGCTTAAGTCTGGGGAGTATGGTGGATGGTACAGCACTTCCCAGCCCCATCAGTCGAACAAATCAGCCATAGCTTGCACTGCATGTGTCCACGCATTGTCCTGCAAAAAGATGGGTGGGTTCTTCAGAAAGTGTCGCCACTTCTTTCTCAAAGCTGGTTGCAGGTTGTGTTCCAAAAATGAACAGTAATACTGCGCATTGATGGTATGCGTTAGGATAACACCATCACAGTCATACACGAGAATCACCATAACTTTCACATTGACGAACTTTTGATTTTCGTGGTGATCCATAATGACGCCATTCGTTCGATTGGCATTTCATATGTGGCTCGTACAATTTGGCCCATGTCTCATCCACCGTAATGATATGGCATAAGAAAGCCTCTCTTTTGCGCTCATAGCGCTCCAAGTGGTTACCAGCAGTGTCGTATCATAGCCATTTCTGCATTTCTGTCAAATCATGCAGAACCCATTGTGATGCAATTTTTCTGATGCCCAGGCGTTCCTTCAGAACGTGAAGCACAGTCATATGCACTAATCCTGTCTCTCGAGGCAGGTCACGAATCGTATGACGTCAATCACTCTCCAGTAACTTCTTCACTGACACTAGGACGACCTGACTGATGCATGTCTGCCACATTTTGGCATCCCTCGTTGAAGGCTTTTACCCACCTTGCCACTGTTCTGTAAGGCAATGCAGATTCCCCGCAAGCCTTTTGAAGACCTTGATGACACTGTTGTGTTGTACAGCCTCTGGCACATTCGATCGTTATCCAACTCCATTGTTCCTGTTTTGAAAACTTCGTGAAAACACTGCATTAGGCCGCCAGCTAACACGAGGCTCTGTTTGTCTCATCACTGCACATGCGTGTGATGTGGGAGGGGGAGTCCATTTGCTCTGAGGTACGGTAGGTATGTAACTAACGTGTGGTATAAGCGACATTATTTGGTTACATTGCATGGCGTCTCTACAGCAGTGTTGCCACTATTAAAGTTCCAACTCTCGTACATTGATAAGTGCCATGAACAGCACAGTGTACCAACCAACTTACAGCAACATATAGATGTACCGTATGATGACCATATAGTTAAGAGTATAAATGGTTTAAATTAAGCAGCTAAACTGTATGCAGCAGGATGCTACAATACAGAATCTGCAAGGGGAAATCTCTTGAATAGCTGAATGGCTATTAATGTGTCAAGAAGAAATCTGAATCATGCAGTTAGCTTTTCCTTTCTGAAGATGGTATTTTGATTGTAGTATATTTTCGTATAAATGTTTCAGGCATCTGCTTAAATATCTGCACTTAATAAAATCTCACGCTTTGAGCTCTGTTATGTGGATTGATGTGTTTTCTGTTCCCACCAATTGGGACTTCGTTCTTCTAAATAAGTAATATAGTGGATTAGTATAGGACAAGGGTGGCAAGCTCCAACCTTGATGGGAATAGTTGGTTCTAGTGTGGGCAGTCACTGGCTGCCTGCAACTGTTTAAGAAAACTTCTGGCTCAATAATATTATTTTTAGCATACTTTCCTAAATTAGGCTTATGTGATCCTCATACTGTTTGTGTGTCTGAATCCCCTCTATCAGCTTTCAAATGCCTTAACTAGTCTTTAGGAGATCTGGTATATATGTCATGGAACCTGAGCCCATCTTAACGGCATATTTCCTAAATCCCAACCATCAGTCTACGTGTCTGTATGTGGCAAAGGTCTGGTAATGTGTATCCCTCCTTTTATTGCTAGGTAGCAGCTTGCTGAATGCATACCCATGGCAATGAATATGTGCAGCAATAGAGTAATTGTTTAACAGATGTGTCTGTGGGTCTGTTTCTGTATCCCTCTATCATTGCTAGGTAACAGCTGGGTAAAGACATTCCCATGGCAATGAAGAATTCTTGGTTACATTGTTTTGTATGTGGTCCATCTTGTATTAAAGGAAAGAAGGCAATTAGTTCTTCCCAGAACTTCTTGTTAATTATGAAGTTAAAAGGAAAAAGGTAAAACTATCCCTGTAACAGGCCATTGAAGCTCATAAGGTTGTGAGATGTCAAGGCTCTCACATTTTCTAGACAGTTGGATCACAGATGGTGGTGAGGTCAGCCTTACGTGCTGGCCACCCAGGTACTCATCTCTATTAGAGGCTGAGTCGACCCCAGGACTATAGTGCAGCTGTTAGGATCAGATCGATTTATGACATTATTGTAAAAGTATATTATCAGATGAGTCATAATGATAAGAGTACCTTAGCTCTTTTTAAATTTAATTCATTCATTCTTCCTGGCTGGGTTTTCTTTACTCTCTTATTGTCAACTATGGTCACCTCTTGAAGAGTAGTGACCTTTAGGAGTGCCATAAATATGTTGTAATTTTGGTCCAGGTACAGTTGTCAATTATATTTAGTTGCCTATATTTGAAAAAATACGTGACAATGGTTTTCTTTGCTATTCAGTCATATAAGTGAGAGAATCTTGTAATTTAATCGTTTCTGGGTATTTATTACTTTGCGTCTGTAGGTTTTGTACTTATTCCTATACACAGAAATACCCAGTTATACTTAGTAATTGTAATTGGCCCTAATTTCACCAAAATTATTTGAGAACATGATGGGAAAAAAAAATATCATTATCTTAGTATTTCGTAAACATACGGTATAACCTTAGTTTACAAGTAAGCCTAAAGGTGTTTCTGTTTCCGACAGGTTTTTTTTAGCCCTTTCAAGAAGAACCTGAATATACTCATTTCCAGATCAACAGTTTTCTTCATGCCACAGTGAATTCACTCATATTATATGTATCAACTTTTGAATTTTTAATCTGTTGAGAGAATATATGCTGAGAAGATAGTAAACCTTCTAGGCAAACTTGAGAGTAACAAGAAAACAGTAATGCTAAAAATATCAGTAGGAGATCTGGAGGGGGGGGGGGGTTGTCACTGCCTGAAAAATGTGGAGGTGAGAGGGTTAATGAAGGTACTGACTTCTTCATATCTTTATAGTCAAAATCTCAAGTGAGAAATGTATTGTAGGTGTACGCATATTAGTGTTGGTGATAAGTATACATTTTAGATGCTTTGTTCCTGTTTTTAGCCCTTTTTCTTTCCTTAAGAAATAAAGGAAGGCCTGTATAAGTAAAATCAGGATTGAATTTTGTTGAACCAAGTGATCATTTGTCACAGTATTTGGTTTGGATATTATGCTACCATAGGCAATTTAAGCATGATTTTTTTTAATTTCCTGCAGTCATATAAGTAAAATCAGGATTGAATTCCATCAAATGCAACAGTGTTTTTAAATAACATAGTAGAGCCTTTACATGTTTCGGCCAATGATAGCCTTCATCGATAGACAACAAACACTTTTAGAGTCAGTAATAACAATTTGGCAGACGCCTGAATTTGTGAGATAGGAGCGCCACCAAGCCTGTGGTCCCAAATTATGTTTGTTAATAGATCTTTGAAAAGTGTGTAACTTTTGGCAAGGTAATGTTTCTATAAAATGTAAAACAACAAGATAGTGGTTGGATGGAATCTCCTTTTAACTTTTGGTTTGATGGAGATAACTAGTGAACCATTGGAGCTTGGCATGCAAAACTTGGTACTGAGATAAATCATAAACATGCCTACACATATTGAACAGGATATTATGTATAAGTTGACAGTTTCACACATTGACAGCGTGAAAGAGCCCAACATGCTAGTGTGTGAGCTAAATTGAATTCATTATTGTGTTATAAATGTATGTTGTCTAAACATGGCATTGTTCATGGAGGTAAGCCTAGGCCCACTGGGGCTGTAGTGCCAAGGGGGGGGGGAAACATGGCATTAACTGCAGAAGATTTGTAGCGCTAGAAATCAGTGCAATAGGAAAGTAGGCTCTGTACATTCCAGCCAGAACTCCTTGTTTTCCTTACTTTATTTTTCTAATATTTGTAGTGCTATTGTGGTTGTTTTATTTGTCCATGTCAGTTTTTCTCATCAGCAATAGGAATTTTCCTTTTTTAGGATAAGGAACCAGACAGGTAAATCATGGTTTACAGGCATTAACATATTAGTTGTGCCTGTCTGTAGGCCAACTGTATATACAAATGTTTTGATGTACATGTGTTGATTGTAGCCTTGCTGTTGGTAGCACACGTCCGGTGCGGTTTGGCATTTCATTGCCATGTGGCATGGAGAACAAAGAGAATACCCGTCCGGCATACATTATCCGGGAGGACACAGACAGTGATTCAGGTGATGGACCTGTTCTTTACAGAGACGACGATAACGAGGAAAGTACGTATGGTACGGACAGTTGATTACTAATCCCTGACCTAGCTGAGAACATGAAACAGCATACATTGCTTAGCTTGATAAAGCCAGTGCATTGCATGGATTGGCATGATTTGTTATCAAAAAAACTAACATAACCTAATACATTGCATTTCTATGTGTTCTCACAATATTCTAATATCTATTCAATTGAATATATCATTATGTTATCAAAATTCAAAAGCCCTTAAATGCAGAAAATGAATTGAACATTCAGAATCAGCATTCTTATCTTGGTGTTTGATTTTATTTAATGCAGCAGGTCATATACCAACATAATAACCACTTGAGTTCTGTCTTCTGGGATGTATTGCTGTGTAGTCCAATGAAAGTCAACCAGCTTTATGGTGTTATATCCCAGAAGATAGAACCTTTAATAGCTACCATTCTTGAGAACCTCACATCCAACAAAATAACCACCTGTCTGCAAAAACATGATGTCCAGTATTGGAATTAATTTTCTGTTCTTATACAACAGTTTTTCCTCACTGTACTGTATATAAAGGGCTTCCATGCCAGGCCATGTCTAGCACTGGACTGTAGAGGATTGAAACACAAATTGAGATCTCTGTTTTTGGTTGTAGGATGACGATTTATTACTAGAATCAAGAGAATTTGATATTCTCCCACCCCCAAAAACACACTTCTGTGTTTCATATGTAATGTATATTTTATTAAGATTATTACTATACACAGAATTATTACAATATATCTTCAGAATATTGAAGTTTTATGATGTAATGGAGTAGTTAAGGGGCAAGCATTTACTCTATGTCGCATGTTATGTACTTAAAGGAGAAAAGTATTCCTTATTTGTAACATATTGTCATATGTTGGGTATGTCACACGACATATAACTTCACGTGGGTCTCGGATTTAGCGAATCTTCAACCCTTTTTATAACCTCGGCCGCTGCTATGCAATGAACCCTCGTTATAACCTTGGAGACTCATCTCTGGGGAGATTCAGCGTTCTCTACGCAACGGCTCGCTAGTTACGGCACTCTACATACTACAGTACAGTTCATTTATGATATCTTCATGATTTTATAATCTTCCAGATCAGAGCAACCAACTACTTACATCTTTAGTGCATACTGAGGGACATTTATAATATCCTTGATATCATACTATAAAATTTACTTCTAATAGTCAGCTGTTACAATTGCAGTCAACAGTTATAATAGTTCTTGTATTTACAGGTCGTCTGGCAGCAAAGATTGCAAGGAAGGACAGCCTGGCACTGAAACTAGCATTGCGTCCTAATCGCCAAGAACTGATAGCACGCAATATCATCCATGAGGAGAGTGAAAATGAAAGAATGGAGAATAAAGAGGCCATAGGTGCCAGGCTTATCAGGTACTTACCCCTGATGTCTTGAAATAATTATTGTATTTGAATTTGTAATCGTGGTCAAAAACTTTGGCTTGATGTTAATTTCAGGATTTTATATGTTTATTTGTGTGCAGTATTGATTATAATATTGCATTTTATTTCCATAATGATATTGCATTAGGTAAATTCTCTGGCTATAAAAATTAAATACCAGTCAGAAATGCATGAACATTTGGATTTTTGACTCTGCTATTTTTTTTTTTTTTTTTGCATAATTTCTCAGAAGAGAGCAACTTTCATTAGTGAAAATTGTTAACTAAGCATGTATCAGAGCATACCAAATGTAATTTTTCTTAATCTATTTCTTTTCTTTATAACCAGTCTTTAACTTCTGTCCACAGCAGAACAAAATTAACATAAAATTAAAATATATATTAATATAACAAGGTCATCTTTGATAACAATTCTGATACATGAAATGTGTTCCTCTGAGTTGCTGATATTTTCCTGGAATGCTCACTTCAAGCATGAATTGTATTACACTTAAGAAATTCATGAAGAAGAAAATAGTTTTGACAAGAAATCCCTCATTTTATGCAGTGTTCTTCCATGTGTACAACATTATAGAACTGACAGTTCCTTTATAACTTTTTGCTATAATGAAGTTAATGTTATAAGGCATACTTGTTCTTCTATCGTTCCACTGTAGCTATTACTGAAAAAGAGCAAAGTTGTGTGTTCTCACTGCTAATGGTAAGTAAGAAACAGCCTTTTGATCCCGCTGGGAAGTTCACATTGAGAATTCAATGATGATTTTTTGTAGAAAGAAAAACTAATATATATGTATTTAACTTGCAGACGATTGAGTATGCGACCAACTCAGGAGGAGCTGGAAGAAAGGAACATTCTTAAAAGTATGTAATTATCATATGAACATGAATTTAATATTTTTTATTTATTTTTAAATAGAGACAGGATTTGATTATGATATTCTTTCTGACAGAGCAAAGTGCTGCAGAGGAAAAGAAAATGAAGGAAGAGAAGAAACGAATGTTGCTGCGGAAACTGAGCTTCAGGCCAACAGTGGAAGAGTTGAAAGAAAAGAAGGTATGGTGACACATTGATACATAGGTAAGGGTGATAATATCGCTGGGCTTAATTAATTAGGCACCATACCATGAAGACATGGGAGAGTGGAGGTATAGCTCCATCATTTGTAGCCTTCACATTACATGGATGTGGGTGATCAGATTCACACCCCTGCTTCTTTACTCTCAGGGGAGCAGCTCCTGATTTTCCTCTATAGGAGGTTGGGCGGGCCCCACAGCTGGTCAGAGCATTATGGAGAAGAGTGAAATGTCTTGTCCCTGCCGGGAATCGAACCCAAACTCCTCAATCATCTATCCTGTAGCCTAGTCACTCTAGTGACTGAGCTATCCCAACTCAATAAGTACCAAATTCTGAAATATATACGTGCATTTGGAAAGTATGTGATGTGTATGATTTCTGGTAGGACATTTAAATTTAATGCAGTATTTTTTTAGTTTGTCAACCCTTTGAAGCATGATAGTCACACTATATGTACCAGCTGTGTTAACATTGAAAAATTATGCCTTTTTCCCTCAGAATGTATTTATGAATTGTGTATGATCTTCTAAGATATGCAGCAATTATGTGTCTTAACAGCATTAACTAACAACAATTTGTAATTAAGACACAGTGCATTTTCTTTGAGAGGAATTGAATTTATAAATATTATATGGATGAACTGTACATTTCAGAGTCTTCACAGTGATTGCAATGATGAATTATCTACTTAGAGTTACAGCAGAATGTCCTTTTGTGTAATGTTGCTATATTCAGTTTGTTGAATAATGAATGAAATTGTATGAGGGAGAATCAGTAAATATGTTTATTTTTCAACATATCCACCAACATTGACACACTTGTTCCAATGTTTTACCAGTACATCGAAACCAGCATCATGGAAGTCTTGTGACTGTTGTTACAGCCACTTTCGCACCTGGTTGGGCATCATCTTTGACTTTCGAATGTCCCTGAGAGAATTTCTTGACCTAGTTGTGTATCGCTTTACATGAGAACACTTCCCACCATAAACAGGAAATATTTCTCTATGAATATACTTCACATTGAGTCCTTTTGTCTGCAAAAAGGACGCACAGCAGCACACTGCTATTTGGTAGCATACTCCTCAAGCATGGCCGCCATTTTGACTACTGAAACCAGCCTCTGCACATGCGCATGTGCATCTGCTACATATACAGTCATGGAGCTGGACCGTGCTGCTACCTAGTGATACATATGGAAAACCTATTATATCTCTTAAGCTGTTTTACTTCCATTTGTGACCTATTTACTGGCTCTCTCTCATAATATCTCATTATTGGTGCTATTCATAGTATTGAAGTATCACTATTCATAGATACACTACCAGTGTACTCTTATTGGTTTCTTCAGTTTCATTCTTTCAATTCGTGAAGGTTCAGTAAAGTTTTACTTGTTGTGGATAGTGAATTAACTTTTGAAACATAACTGTATGACACAGCTTCATCTCCTATACCTTACTTACTTATTTACTCTGGAACTGAGCACTTCTTGAGGACAAGCCAAATCTGCAGCTACTCGAGAATTTCCCAGCATTTTATGGAACCTGAAGGTTCATTACTGTGTTTGCAAGAGCCCTCCACTGGTCCCTGTCCCAAGCCAGATCAATCCAATCCATACCATCCCCTCCTATCTCTCTTAACTCTTTGACTGGCGCAGGCGTGTTTTAACGCCAGGGCGATGCCAGCCGTTCCCTGGCATTGGCGTGTTTTAACGCTTTGAAAATCTCTTCCCTTATTTGCTCTCTTGGTTCTCATCAACCAAAGACATATACAGGATGTCCCAGGAGGAATGGACCAAACTTCGGGAGGGTGTTCCTTATGTTAAAGTATGCCGATATAACCCAAAACACCTATGTCCAAAGTTGAACGGTTATGGAGATAATGGCCAGAGAAAAGTGTGGGCTTCTAGCGGGTCCACGGATTATACCTATCAGCTGAGAGGCCTTATCTTTGTTTGTCCTTGAGTGTGGTGATGTCATGCTAGCCATAATCTCATGCTCTACTCACAGAGGATAGAGGATTACAGTGTATCTTGCGTCAGCGTCGTGAATGGCTAGTAATTACGTGTACTTGTGCGGTGTTGCTGAAATGCCTTTTGTGTTTTCACATGTTGAGTATTGTGATATGCATTTTGTGTATGGATTTTGCGGTGGCAATGCACGTGCTGCTGTTGAAGAGTACCAAAGACGTTTTCCCGATCGAAGGATTCCATCTCGACGTGTATTTACGCGAATTCACCAGACATTGCGTGAGACTGGTTCTCTTCCGAGTGTTTCTGTGCAGTCGGAAAGGGAGGATGTACAAATGAGAAACACACGAGAGAATATTCTTGGCATGATTGATAGAAGTCCGCGTCT